AACTACGAGCCAGGGTAAAAGACTGGGAACTGAACGAAAGAATGTCCAAATTCTTCTTCCAAAAAATCAAAGCCAACTCCAGAAACTCTAAAATAGAATGTCTAAAAGATGAGAATGGTAACCCAACCACAGAAACAACAAAATTAGTTAACATAGCAACTAACTTCTACAAAGATCTCTACACCTCCAAAACACCTATCCACGGCAACAACTCAACAAGCAGAGCAAGAGAGAAATTTTTGACCCACCTGGACCAATCCATCTCATCGGAATCGGCCAAATCACTAGATGAACCCATAACATTAGAGAAACTACACAAAGCCCTCAACGACCTCAAACCCAATAAAGCCCCAAGAAAGGATGGCCTCTCTAAGGAATTCTGGATGGCTGGTTGGCACACTTTAGGTCCACTACTCCATAGCTTCCTCACCAGGGCATGGGAGAAAGAAACAATAGGCCCAAAACTCAGCACAGGGGTGGTGACACTCCTATACAAAAAGGGAAACAGAGAGGACATAAAAAACTACAGACCCATCTCATTACTAAACGTAGTCTACAAGATCCTAGCCGAACTCCTAGCCACCAGAATAAACAAGATCACTGGAAGATGTTTCCACCAGGGTTTATTTCAGGAAGACTCATATTGGACAACGTAATGTCCCTTTGTGAATCCCCGAGGATAATCAACCAGAAACACATCGCAGGGGCCATCCTGTTCTTCAACTTTGAAAAAGCATACGACCAAGTAAACTAGGACTTTCTTCAGGCCAACATGGAAAAAATGGGAGTAGTGTAGCGGACCCACCAGGTGTGGTGCTCCGCTAGTGACAGAGATGGAGATGGAGGAACAAGGGGGAGCAAGATGGCACAATGCAGCTCCCCACGCAAGACTCCAACGCACGTACTCCAAAATGTGCAAGTGAGGAATGAGCCTGAAAACAGACAATGGCTGGGGTATACCCCAGCAGACTGACGGGACTGGACTGGACTGGCTGGTACCGACAGAGGTACCGGCCTGGACTGGCCTACCCCGAATATAACACAGGCCTGTGAGAACAGGCCAAGGGGCTGGTCTCACAGGCCATCCCGAGGTCCGCTACACGATCCTCGGCCTGTGATGGATCACCTAGATACAAACATGCTTCCGCCAAGAAGTGGAACTCTACCAAAGAAAAGAAAACCTGAGTAGTCTAAGATGCGGAGCAAGCTCCATGCTGCGTCCATGCGATGCAACCTAGGATATAAAATGTCACAAAACAACAATGTCACAGCTAACAGCCTAAGTGAAAGTAGGAGCAACTAACTAACATACATGTCCTAGGAAAGCAAAAAGTAGTGACAACTAGATCCTAGAATGTTGAAGGCACTAGCCTCAGTCTGGTAACAACTGACTAGTGTATAAGTCCTAAGAACAGCAAAAGCAAAACAACTAAATCCTAGAATGTCGGAGGCAGTAGCCTCAGTCTGAGAGCAACAAAGCAATCAACAAGACAACCATATGTCACATGAGAAGTGTGTCACACACCAAAGGGTGGGATGGTCTCTGAGGGTGGCGAATGCAGCCTAGGGGTCGAAAACTCCTAAGGGCATCCACACATAGTGACAGGGGAAAACACATGTCATCAGGCTCAATGAGGGTAGGGA